GTTTGGGTAAAACCATTGGCTTTCCGCTTAGAACAAACTAAGAAACCTCAACAAAGCCGAGTTGAATAAAGGAACTTAAGATTATTTAGTACGAAATTTTCTGCAACCGTTCCCTTTGTTCCGAAAGATTTTCATGCGCAGTATAGGCAAAATAAAAGTCGAATAAATAGGCAGATTAGTGCATCACACTTTTTAGTTATTTCTTCGTTTTATGGAGGACTGAATATAACACAAGACGACGATTTTATTGTTCTTTTTCTGAACCCGTAGAAATTTAATCAGACCGAATAGAAGCGAGGAAGTTTGAACGGCATGAATTCACTGTTGTTGACAATTTTCGCTGCCGCCGCCGTCTTGGTTTCATAAGCCTCTCATTATTTGATTCCGTCTTCTCTCTTCGGAGTAAGCTGTCAGCGGAGAGGACGTGACGGCTTAATTTCAACCTGGGCCGAAGGTGGATTAACGAGTGTGGGAAAGATAGGAAAAAGGGCTGCAAAAAAACTGAGATCTGGGCCCCCGGTTAGGGAATATCAGAGAGGTACGCTTTGGTCTTATTGCCAAAAATTAAAACGGTTGAAAAGAACAGTATACCCAAAATCCAACATTATGGCTAACAAACATTACAGGTGTTTCCGCTACGCTCACAGACTAGATTGTTCACAGTCCCTTTATATGTAATTCTGGGTTGTTTTTGAAGTTTGAGGGGGAGGCGGGGGGGGAGGGAGGCGTCTCCTGGAAAATTTGGATCGGGTGAGGGGCGTTTATTCTGATGAGCTCCTGAGGTCCCCAATTGCCGACCCCAGTTCAAATGGAAACATAAATGCTTGCTTTAAATTACCGAGTTGATCCGAATGGTTTTCAGTTTCAGACCAAAACTCTTTAATTTAGCACTTCACATACCTGTATAGATCAGGAAGTCCCTCCCTGGGATTGTTAATTGTCCCATATTTTTCCGTGTGATTTTCGAGGCTCCAGAGGCCGCAATCTTAAGTTTCCTATGGTGAGTGACTATAATGAAAACCCTCTACAGCTTAGGCTCAGTTTCCTTCTCGGAGAAAAACAGTAACACGGAAAAATAAGGGTTTGTAAACAGTGCACTACCAAATACCCATGAGATTTTAATCGCTCTCGCCTAAACTGAGGCAGAAGACGGAGTGGTTGGGGTGATGTTTTACAGCCAAGAATCGATAGTATTGGTCATCACCCATTTCTGATCACGGTTTCGTTTTGTTCACAGATTCACCTGTAATCAGGCATTCTTAGGGAGATGACATGATCACAGGTTAAAACAAGATTGACTTTTGGATATCCCGTCTACTAACGTGTTGAGTAACCTGCGATCAGGCGTTTTATGATGACGATTTTTTTGAAGAGGGTAAAAGAATGCCTTCCTTCCCGCGAGAGACTTGAAGAGATTTAGGTGATCGAAGGCCATGCGTTGCGTTACCACAGCGTCAAATACACCTCTGTCGATCTAGTATATACCGATTACATTACCATAGCCTGCGAGCAGGCTCACACGTGCGAGTTTCGCCGCCAAAATAATTTTCCCCGAATTCGCACAAGTGGATTTGCTCACAGGCTAACATTACCAGTGTGAACTAACCTGTATCCAAATCCTTATGAGTCCCAGAAAGAGTGAAGCATGGAAAAAAGGGCGGATCCAGGAAATTTGTAGGAGATGTCACCACCTAACCTTACCCTCGACTAGAAAATATAGATTGATGGAGACACTAGACGGCACCCAGCGCGAATTTTTCAAAAAATGTTTAAAACAAAAATGTATGCAAAAGAAATGCCCATAGTTAGCATCTCAACCTGCCGGATTTTTTTTGTTACGCTTACAAGATAAAATTTCATTCTTTCCCTTTAATTTTTTTATTTCGTCTTTAGGTTATTAAAAACTGAAACAGATATAGGAGAAAGTATTGCGAACGTGTTTCTTTCATTAGTGCTGGCCCGAGCTCGTTTTCCACAAGAAGTCGTGCATGACAAGTTCACCAAATACGGACTCTAAGACTCTGAGGGCACTTTATACGATGTCCGGATTAAGACGGGTATGTTTTAAAATTAAACATGCACTTTTTACTGATTTGAACAAAATCGCAAAGACAAGCTTCAACAAACCACACAAACGTCTATGAAAGAAAGGAAATTGGTTGAATACACTTGTGTACTCAGTACTGTCCTGTACATTGCTCGATCTATCAAGTACGTACATTGCATTCGGTAGAACTCTGACATTCGTTACCAAAATAATCAGCAATTGACCGGAAGTCTTTGAGGTATCTCGACCAGATCGACATGCATCCTAATTTTCTTATGACCGTCGCTAAACGAAAGCATTATTGAGGGGCGTAAGGGGGGTCCGAAAACCTCAAAACCGCACAGAGAAACATTAAAATCCGCAATGACGCATCGAAATTTACCTTTATTCAGAAAAACAGCAGTCCACCGGATCTAGTAAAACCGCAGTACCACAGACTCATCCAAAATTACGCGAAAACACGTCACCGGAAACCCTTACGCCCCCCCCCGGCCTTATTACCTCACACATAAAGAGGTGTTCCCGGGGGACTCCCATATGACAGTGACGGTAATGCTGTGCAGATTGGTCTCACAATGTTCAAGACGGAAAGTCAATAGTTTTACCCATAAAGGTATCACAAAGGGCTGTGAGCGTGGGAAAAGGCCATAAGAAAAAGAAACAAACGCCTTTATATTTTATGCTGTGTTGGAGTATGGTCTCCTTAAGGGTTCAGATAATAAAGGCTAATTCACGCCCAGATTAATCTACTATAGGGATCTGGTCCGTTCCGAAGAGCACCCCCCGTCTCTTTCGCATCGGAACCCCCCCCGCTCCCTGTCCATATTAGCAAGGTCAACGTCTGTTAATTGGACAAGAGATTAAAGTTTCGTCGTCCGCATTAACGATCGAGAGGCCTTATATGAGCAGGGGGGGTTTAATTTATATGCTTCCGATACTAGTAGGTGGGGTTCATTTAGAAACTATATCAGGGCTATCGCGATCTCCCAGGGAAAGTCCGTAAAAACGAGGCGTTCATACTAAGAGGGTACCTGTTTATAGGATTGGACTGAAATCCATATATGGAAAGAGGAAGAAAGGTGTAATCCAATATACCTCTCAAAGTGTATTCGTTGCTTTTACTTTGTTAATTGAATGTTTTATTTATATTGCTACTCTTATTGCAAGCATCAAAGTATTATTGTACGTGACGTCTGACAGATTTCGGGTAACCTTACCCAAAAACCAACCCTTCAGCCATTTATGGCAAGTTTCAGCCTTGATCAAAGTTCATTCAGGGAGTGGCACTAAAGATTCCCGTTTCTTTACGTATTTATTATTATTATTTTTTGATGGAATCGCCATTATACCGAGAGAGTGTTATTTTCAAAGTTACAGTTAGAGTACGAAGCACGAATTGATCTAAAAACGCTGTTTTTTGGAACCCCTGTTTTTCGGGGTATAAAATTTGGGTACCGGTTTTGTAATTGTCTCGAAACGTGGAAAGCCTTGTAGCGGATTTACCTATGGGCTGGAATAATCAAGTATTTGGAACCGTTATTATTTCTTGGTATTAGTTCGGGGATTTGAATTAATTTTTTGATTTGGGATTTGGCGTATCAAAAAATAGAAATTAGTTGAAAATTACTTAAAAAGAAGTCCCCATCCTTCTATCCACTAACAACGTACCTTATCACTTTCTGTGAAGTCACTTAATTTAGCAGAGAACCGACACGAGACTCAACGCAATTTTTTAGCCACCGAACATCTGGGCAGCTTTTCTATTTCTTTTACTAAAGAAACTGGGATTAGCGAGTACCTTCACGTGCTGAAATTTACCAGTTTAGCACTTAATATATGAGAACCACTTCAGGCTGACAGTTAAAGCAAGTCCTCATTCTAAAAAGTTCCTAGAATCAGAGAAAGACAATGGTGACGACTTAAGTGTGCTTTAAGGGCCATTCAAGAACACACAGAAGACTGACAAAACATAGATGCATGCAACAGCCATAAAACTGTTTAGGTAGTATTACAGTATTTTTATTGTTTCTTTTGTCCAATTACAGTTATTTGGTAAGGTTTAGTGCAAAGTACAATACCTATTACTGTTTTCACGTAATTGGTAAGAACATGTAACTGCCCGTTAACTACTCAGCCATTAAAAATGACATTAATATAAAAAACATGCACGGGTTCTTTTTGTGCCTTTAAAAACTGAAATATTTTCCTCTCGGGGAAGATAGGGGAAAAAGAACAAGCACACTTACAGTGACATAACCTCAGCAAAACGAAACTAACAGAAAAACCGGAACTGGTCACAGACATTGGATAACCTCGAGTTTGATGTTTTTTCGTAGCATTACATCACTCACACGCAATTCTGTAATAACTTGAAGGTGCTTTTACATTGCAAATTTAGTTCTGACCTATAAGACTTGATTATAAAGTGAAACGTAATCTATGCTTAAAATTAAGGCCTTAAAGACTTATGTTGTTGGAAAAGTTAGAGTAGGACGGACCTCGAATGACCTTCACTTGCCTTGTTTAATAAAATTTGTCACACCTTGCCTCTGGAACACTCCCAAGTTGCTCACTGTCTTACAGTCTTTTAAGCCCAAAAAACTTAACGTTATTTAAAGAGGGTCTCTAAAAGGAGATTTGTTTAATTGCTCCTTTGATTGTTGCCAACGATAACTTTTCGTTTTTTTTTCGCTCAGACAATTGGCTTTCACGTCACGCGTGTCACGTAGATCCCGTGCTTCTGCAGGGTCACATGACTTTCTAAGTACCACCTCCTTTATGTGTTCATGCATTTTGTTGTGCGTGGCAGCCATGAGCGTTGATAGTTTCTCCGCGCTTTACTGGGGACTCCTCGAGTTCAAAGTACAATCTGCTCAGCTATAAATACAACATAGAGGCTTACGTCTTGGGATATACAGTTTTTCGAAGAGAGAGGCCATTACCGTAGCCGTCAATGTCAGACAAACTAGCGAATGGTCTGAAGCAGGCCGAGAGCTCGAGCAGAAATGGTAATAAACAACTTGATCGTTTGTTATCTGTAGTAGATCACGCACTCGTTATTTAAGTGATAGAGAAGTCTTATAACCTCTCTTGTTTAATCTTTGTTGCAGGAGATGATGGCGAAAACGGGGCCTGCTTAATTTGTGGCGATAAAGCGACGGGCAAACACTATGGTGCGTCGAGTTGTGATGGCTGTAAAGGTTTCTTTCGACGAAGCGTTAGGAAGAATCACGTTTACGCTTGTCGGTTCCAGAGAGTTTGTGTGATCAACAAAGACAAGCGAAATCAATGCCGCTTCTGCCGGTTGAAGAAATGTTTCCGAGCTGGAATGAAGAAGGAAGGTGAGACGTTTTACCAAACGTAATCTTGTAAAGTTGTGTTTGCGCGCTCGTGTATTGATCGATTGCTATTTCGGCGAACTAGCCGTTCAGTGATGGATAACCCGATATATGATTAAGCCCTACATCTCTTGAGTCTGAATCTGTCAAGTACACGGTGGTAATGTCATTAGATTCCATCGCAATCATGAGAAAATCGGTGTTGAAGAAAGTTTGTAAGGACAAGCACCGGCTTACAACCGTTAAGCTTAAAATCTTTTGCGTGTTTGCAGTTTGTTTTGAAAATGCAAATCACCAGATATTTTGTTAATTGATAAAAACATAAATTAGTACAGTGTTATGGACAGGAAAAGAAAAAGCGGTCGAAACGGTGCTTTTGGCTATTGTAAGTTGATCGGTTGTGTAAACAAAAAATCAACAACACCAAACTCAAATTTTTTACTAGGATGCATGTCCTGAGCATCTTATTAGCACTGTCATACAACTTGGAAACTTACACGAAACTGGGGAAACAAACTTTGAAAAAAGCTTTAGTGATATGCCTGGGATAAGATTATATTCTTTGTGTGTTTTTAAAACGTCTGTTCATCTCAGTGTCATTGTTTGTGTATGAAAAATATATTCTCCCAAAAATTAAGCACACATTAAAATCAATTTATCATTTTCCAGGTTTACCCAATAAGTAAACAATAATAATTGAAGATATAAAAACAAAACAAAGTAAACAGACTGGAGTGAATGATTTTGACAAGTCCTTCAAGGAGAAAATAGTGCATGAGGTCCATTTTTTAAAATCCTTCAGTCACTATCAAAAGAAGCCTGCGAAAACATCCGTTTCTCCTTGCTAAAAGAATTCAAGATATTTATTGAAAGGAAACTGTAAATAAAATGTTGTTATGTAATAGTAATGTTGCAAAAAAAAATGTTGACAGCAACATGAAAGTGGTGTGATTCTCAGCCATGCATCATGACATTTTCATAACACATGTGATAAAGAGCTAACAATTTCAGCAGAAATTGTTTATAGTAGTCTCACTGACATTAAAAATAGTATATACTTATTTGTCACGTCAAAACAGTGTTGTTTCAGTTTTGAGAGAAATTGCATTCAAGGGACAGACAGCTGGAGAAGCAAATCTAAGTCAAACACACAGCCATATAAACAAGCAAAAGATAGCAGTTATTCAATAATGTGAAATAAATCATATGATTCAACATTTATATTTCCTTACTACCTTGATTACCATCATCAAAGCAACAAGAAATTAGGCAATTTTTTTTTCTGCTGTATGGAGATTATTCCACAAGTTTTCTCTTACTGAAGTAGCTGGTAATTGAAATTGTGAATTTTGGCCTGCCAGTGTCAAAATACTCACTTTGGCAAGCTATTCTCTAGTTAAACACTGTGGAATGTTGAAGTGCGTGATTGAGGTATGACAGGGGCATGTTGAAGGATGGGCAGAGGATGGACCGAAACATTGCATCATGAGCTGTACATGTGCTGCATATATACATCTAAATACCGTCATATATTTTCATAACTTAGCAGGTACTCAATTTGAAGTGGATACTAAAAGATGAATTAATTTCCATCAGTGATACCCTTATGAATGGATGGATAAATAAAAAATTGTGGAAAGGAATAACAACATTTTTTGCATATTTTTACGTATCTAGGTAGTTAAAATTCACTCTGTGAAATGTATCGGGCACGGATTCATTAGAATGATTTCCTCTATTTTTACAACAGAAGGCATTTTCCTGAGTTGCTTGACCAATTCCATAGCTGCAGTAGTGTTAAAGTTTCATATATCTACTGTACATAAGACGATTTCTGTTATGATTCTCACAAGTTCTGTTTTTGATCAGTGTTATGTTTAGCATCACACTGTCATGTTGTTTGGATAGAATTATAATGTGGTAGAACCATTTCCATTTTTCCAAATGATAGTTATGTTTCCAATTAGTGCTGTGCTTCTCTTACTTGTTGTGTTTCTTTGCTGGTCATCTACAGGACTTACTTTTGTATGTAACTTTTTTACTTGCAACTACAAAAATCCCTGCAACCAAATCTTTGGAGGTCACGGGCTTGTGAAATTGTCAACAAAATATGATATTTCAAAATTACAGTAGAACAAATTTTTTATTGGTTTGACACATCCTCAGAGCATAAAATCAGACAGCCAAATACGGTTGTACTTGTGTATTTTACTCTTTGAGCTTTCTTTTATTTGATGATATAGCATGAAACACAAGTTGATAGCAAGTTTTTTCATAAGCTGGAGCATAAAGCGATTGCCATTAGCAATTAGGGTAGGCAATGTCAGTTTCTATTTTTGTATGTAGTTTTTCATGAATTTCTCTTTTGTTCAAAAGGCAATTCAACACAGTTTTCTGGAATTGCATTTCACGTGATCTCCTTCAGGTTTCAAAGATTAGTATCAAAACTCGTGCGGATGAGTTGAAAATAAGCCAATAATTCAGCAGCCTCGTGGAAAAAGGGTGTAGGTGATGATAGTTCCTTGAAGTCCAACTTGCTCCCCATGAGCTCTATTTTGAGACAATTATGTAACAAACTAAGTTTTGGCCTGTTTTGGCCAATAAAACTTCGGTGAATTCAAGTTCTGTAGGTTACAACTTTTTCTAGAACTCTTGAACAACTGGCACAGATGACGGAATAACAATTGATTAGCTTTGTTTTAGTGGAGATAATAAACCACAAAGTCAATTAATAGTGCTTTGCTTGAACTAATCCATTTTACATACTATATGATAACCAGACTTTGTGTTAAAATACAACTTTTTAGGAACAGTTTGGATATTGGGTCGAAATCAAGAATTAAACCAATATTATTTTTACAGAACCCTCAAGTTGTCGTAACATTAATATCCATGTATATTGTAGCATTAAGCCCATGCTTTGGCCATCATCTGGAAATATCAAGGTGCGGACACATCAGGATGTGATCACGTAACAAATCATAGACACCTTTGGAGGGGTGTGTAAATTACTGCAACGAGTCCGAGATCAACAACTGGTCACGAGCTGGAGCCGATTTTCTGTCCTATTTTTACTGTCGTTCTTTCTTTGGGAATTTTCATGTTTTCATTTAATTTCTGGGTTTGTATGGTTACAGCCATTCTAGAACTGTACACCTAGCAGCGTGAAACTTCCTTACACAAGTACATTGGGTCATAAAGATTTAGCACTACTTGATATTCCAACATTTTTGTTTTAATCGATCACCGTCTTCATGACGGTGTTTACCATTGTGAGCAGACTAATTCAGGCAGCATGCATGACCAGCCTGGGTTGCCTGTGCCTGAAGCCAGCCTCATTTGAGATTTTTGGATGTAAATATGTATGTATATCACCAAATTTGCCTTGATTCATGTCCCTTGAATCCAGGCCCTGTTGTTTTCAGCCAATCCATTCAGAATTACACTCCAAAGGGAAAAGTAAACACTGTATCCTCTAGAACACTCGACTGTTGATAAAACTAAAGGCGGAGAAATACTGTTTCGTGTAGAAAGCCACATTTTCGCAAGCAAAGAATATGAATGGAAGTGAAGGTAAAAAATTCTTGTGAATTGAAGGGATATGTTTCTCATAATATTTGAAGCAATTCCTGGAACTCTGTGGTAAATAAATTCAGTGTTTTGGCCAAATTTGTATTTAGCCAGGCTTTGTTGTATTTATTTAAGCTTAATTGATAAATTGCTTTAGTTATTGAGAGCTTTTCTGGAACGTTTAACAAGGTTTGTTCTCTCCTTGGTAGTGAAACGTTTTTTACATGGAGAGGCAAAGATTGAAAATTATTTGATGCGCTCGCAAGGTGTAATGAACCAGTTTAATATTGAACTTGATTGGAATTTCACTCATTGACTCACTCTATCGCTCGTGTGCTCTAAACATTATCCTGGACAGGTTTCAGACAAATAATACGCTGATTTATTCTCACAGACTTTTATACAATTGTAGCTTGACACTTTTTTTCACCTACGTGTCGCATTGCATTACTTGCAGGGTTATTTGACACTGGTAGTGTCAAATATCAAAAGTCAAAATAAATATTGCAACTGATTCAAACTATTTGAAATGTCATTCTTTACTCGCAGCGCTTCACTTTGCATTGGAAACTACTAGTTTTTTAGATGTAGGGGCGGAGCTAGGAAGTGTAGTTAAAGGGGGCCCAACTTGTTTGCACTGTTGAATAAAAGAATTAATGTGGCTGAATGTAATTTGGGCAAAGTTAACCTTGAAGCAATGCTGACCAGCAGTTTTCTCAGCAATACTGGGGTGGCCTGATGCCTTTAGCAAGGGCACCTCGTGGCTTGTATTTGTAGTTGCTTGCCTGCAGTTCTTTGCAAAGTGTATTTGCTGGAGCCTTGCCTTGGTTGCCATTTTTGTGCAGTGTTTTTTCCCAGCTCTCCCTCCCATTTCAGTTTCGGGTCAGTTAAGTATTTGGTCAGTAAGTATTCCACTGAACAGTTCAGTGTGACGGTGCCTTGTGGGCGTCGCTCGAAGGGTTGCCATGGTTACCTCCTTCCTTGTGCTAGAGCATTGCCTGGCTCCACCACTTTTGTAGGCACCAGCGCCCAAGCTCATCTATTGGTGATGAGTTTAATCTTCCTTCCATGTTTTTTACGTGTTACTTTCTGTTTGGTATACTCTTGCTGGTGGTTCTGTTGGTCGCCTGCTCTGCGTTTGAAAGAGAACAGATCATCATTGTAGTTATTATAACCTGTGTATGGTGCTTCTTGCAGCTGTTCAGAATGAGAGAGACACCATCTCAAAACGGCCACGTGGAGAGGAGACTGAAAACAAGCATGGCTTGACGACCAGTGTATTGTTATCAGCTGAGATTCTATCACGTCCTGCAACTTCACCTCCAGGTAAATTATATGGTACAAGTCATTTAGCTTAGTTTCAGCAACGTTTTGAACATTATTTTTGCAAGCCCAAGGTCTACCTTGGGTGTTGACCACAACAACCTGAATATCCTAAGGATCAGCTTGTGAAAAATTTATGATTGATTATTGCAGGAAGAAAATTAGAATACTGCATGATACTTTCTGGTGACAGCAATATTTTATTCTTTTTATAAACCAATGCAGAAAGCATTTCTTTGGAGAAAGAGGCAAGTTACGGTGACATTGTTGAATCAATGCGGCAACAACTTCTGGTATTAGTAGAGTGGGCAAAACACATCCCTGCTTTCTGTGAACTGTTGCTTGATGATCAAGTAGCTTTACTGCGAGCACATGCCTCTGAGAACTTATTACTGGGTGTCTCAAGACGTTCGTTAAATTTAAAGGATGTTTTATTACTTGGAAATGATCTTGTATTGCCACGGACAGCTGGAGATCCTGAAATGCGGAGAATTGTAAATCGTATATTCGATGAACTTGTTGAACCCATGAAAGAGTGGAATGTCGATGACACAGAATATGCTTGTTTGAAGGCAATTGTGTTCTTTAATCCTGGTAAGTTGTTTAAGAATTTACGTTTAATTACTTACATTAAGCCCTGTAGTCAAGAGTAAAATGAGTAATTACGAGCTGATTCAAGTACTTCCACAATCTTGGCAAGAATCCGTTACCCACATTTGGTGATAAGAATACTTGACTAAGGGTAACAGACAACCTGACCCTGTTAACAGTGGTACTCAATCCTGGAGTCAATATGGAGGGACAAGACATATTTCAACCTTAAGAGTCTGTGGACAAAATCCTAAGGTATTACTTAATTGTTTTTTTTAATTTTGTGTAAAAAATGCTCTGAACAGGTGAACTAAAATTTCTAATGGCTTTGGAAGTGTTCAAACAGGTTGCCTTGATTTTCTGTATGGTTTTCTCAACAGGTTGACTAAACAAAATGAATGGCTTACTGATCAAAGTTTTCAACAATTGTTGTTTGGATTCTTCACAGCTATCAATTTTCCCCCATTTCTTCATCTTATTATGTTTGAAATTTTCACAGAAATCGCCTTTCAATCAAAACAAACTGCAACAGTTCGTGTTGCGTTCATCCTTGCTTAGTAACCAGGCAAGTGTTTCGAAGCACATGTTTGACCAAAACATGGCGGGGTTGTTTACACATTTCTTGGCATCTTATGTTTGTTGCAGACCTTCCTTTGGTTGTAGAGAGCTTATTAAATGATAATATTGTGAGGCCTGTCTTTGTCATATTGGCAATTTGGGACTGAATTTCTGTACCATTATCATTCAGGTTCATATGTTACCCGATTGATTCGAGCTTTTGCTGCCATTTTTTGATTTTTAAGCTAGAACAGAAATAAGTTCGTATGTTCTTTGTGATTTTAAGTAAAATCTCTCTATTTGTTTGTCTAAATCAATACACTGATAAGCTTGAACCGAATTAGGTTTAATGTCAAACAAAACTTACCGTAGCTCATGCTTCAAACACCCAAGCAGGGAACAAAATTCTGACGACTTCTGTTAATGCTTCAAACGTTTTTGATGCAAAATTCAATGACTTTTTCCAACACCTTGAACTGTTTTTCTAATGCTTTTAATGGCAGGTTAAAAAAATTCTAACGGTTTTCCAAACACTTCTAATTATTTCCAAAACCGTTTTAACGCTTCTGTAATGGGTTGAAAACGCTTTCAGTCGTCAAACTGAAAAGTGTTAGGGTATGTTTTCCTGGAGAAGGTCACAAATACCTTTTGTCCAGACTGCTTGGTCACGCGCGGTGACAACAGACTACGAACGACAATTTATGGAAAACCAACACATAACAACAGATTACTGGACCAGTCATCGGACAACCCGACCTCTCACAAGGCTACAACTATACGGGCTTTGGCAAGACAAGTGCAACTAGTTTGCGACTCACCTGACAGCCTACAAGAAGAGACTAACTACCTAAACAACGTTTTTAGTAAAAACAACTACAACACGGACTTTGTTAGGCAGAACACTCACAGTAACACTGATTCCAAAACTCAGACCAACTTCAGCTCTGGCCATGTTACGACAGCGACTATACCGTACATTGGAGGCACCTCTGAAACTATTTCTTGCATACTATAATCTTACAATATGCATGTTGCACACAAGCTAATGACCACTTCACGAAGACTACTTACTAATGTCAAGGACAAAGACAAACTGGAGGACAGACAGGAACAGTATACAAGATCAAATGCTACGACTGCCAGGTTACTTACAGTGGTGAAACCAGCAGAAACTATAGCAAGTGACTGACTGAACACAAATCAGCAACGAGAAATGGTGACGTCAACAGTCACATGGCTGAGCACCACTTACAGACGAAACATCAAATCGACTCTGACTCTGCGACATATATTACGTATTCTACAGACTACTCTCAATGACTCGCTTTAGAAAGCTGGTTTACTAAGATAGAATGAATGCCACTGAATCGTAGTCAACAGTTACTGACACCGTAGACACGACTTATTGATGGAATCAGACAAAACTAACTGGACAACTGACAATTTGACCAACAATAAATCATGTTTTAACTGTGACAATAGATGGATCAAATCACACTAATGACAGTAGTCTTGTTTCTCCTTGGTTACTTTAAGAAGCAAAGAAAAAGGGAAATGTTTTGCACAGGCTATGGGGTATTTTCTTACTTATCCAAACATTCTCTCCGTTGTAGATGCGAAAGGTCTCACTGATGCCCAAAAGATCAAGGCATTAAGATTTGAGGTACAGACTATGCTAGAGGATTACATTGCCAAGGACCAGTATGAGAGCCGTGGCAAGTTTGGAGAACTACTTCTTATGCTTCCAACCATGCAAAGCATAGCGAAAGAGATGATAGATCAGGTTCAGTTTCACAGACTCTTTGGTGTGGTTAAAGTTGATAACCTTCTTCAGGAGATGATTTTAGGAGGTTGGTGATGCATTTGGTCAAACAGAGTCTAAGGGACGTGGTCCCACTAAGATCGTGAATTTTCACTTGCCTAGGGTGCATCACTGTTATAGGGACCAGGGATGTCATTAAGTTTTGAAGCAGTTGTAGCAAATAACAGCTCACAAAAATTTTGTGTCATCTTTAGCTTTCCACTTTGATCACCAGTAACATCAAGTGAGCTCAGCTGTAACAGTTCTACGGGACTATTAATTACCACTAATACAGAACACAAAGTAGAGTAGAGTACGATGTAGTTAATCATAAGTCCAAAGCTTTAACCGTTAATATTAAAATACAAGTTCTCCTTTCTTGTCCCATACCTTTCCTTTAGAAATGGTGGGGGAAATTTGTTTAATATCACAAGAAGTAATCCTTGGTGATCATAGACTTAATTCTCATAAGTTCCTAAATGATTAAGCATTGGTATTACAAAGAGAAATTTGGTAATGATCACATGAGGGCTTAAAGGGTTAAACAAATATGTTTTTCCGATGGTCCAGATTAAGTAATAATCATGGTGAACTTGTATATTTTCAGGTCATTGTTGTGTCCTTTTAGGTTTAATTAGTGTACTTTCTTCACTTTAGCAATTTTTAGGCAGGTCATCATGTTAGTGTAATAGACACCATTTTTCTTTCTTGGAGTAATAGTTTCCATAGCCAATAGCGTCAAGCAAAATAATGAGAATCTCTTAACTTAGTAACACATTAACTTGAAAATGACATACATCTGGGTCAGCTGAATCAGATTTATCTGACTCTAGCCATCAAAGGGTATTAGGATCTAACAATGTCTGTACTGTGTTGATAGAGTATGGATGAGCTGTATTCTAAAAGTCCCAGTCTAAACATGATTATCCATTCAAGCTTGACCTGCCTAGAACCAGCCTGTAAATACAGCTGTCTTTCGCCGCTCCTCCCCACTGGGGATGTTTCACGGAAGAGATGTTTGTAATGGGATGACAAATGCCATACTGATGATATAAATCTATCCATAGCTCTGATTGGTCAAAAAGGTCAAATTTAAATGCGATGAATCTACTGCAAATCAGTCCATATGCATTTGAGTTTTGCTGCTATTCATTTGCATTTGAATTTTGGAACCCTGTGAATACCAGAGTAATGGACCCTCCCACTTTTTTTTCAACTTTTGACATGGACAAGGTAGGGAAAATCTGTCAAAACTGCCGAAGAGAGCACCTTTAAATTAGTAAAATTGCATAGTTTGACAGTGAATTGTTGAAAACTAACTAAGATATAGCTCCTCAAGGTTGCGAGATTTCATAGATGTTCGCATGGTGGGGGGCACAAACTTGCTCTCCGCCATAGCAACGTCTGTAAATTTTTGCAACTTTACAGAGCTATATCTTTGCTCACATAAGATGTATGACTTTCAAACTTGGTAATTGTAGTAATTTCCAGTGGTATCAACAGACTTTTCCTAACTGGTCGATGTCAAAAGTTGAAAAAACCATAAAAGGGTCTATTATGTAAAAAATGGATTTACATTCGTCAGTACATCGCATTTCTGTTGTTCTGGCGCAGAAATCTCTCCCTTAAAATGTCCCTGGTGGCTAGGAGTGATGAGAGGTGGCTGTATTTGCAGGCTAGCCTAGAACATCCATAAATCTAAGCTTTCTTAACCCTTGATTGAAATGACATGACAGAACACCTCAAGATGAGGCCTTGAAAGAGATATCAACAACTCTGGTTTCCCAAGGAAGAAGCTGGGAAGACTGGCTGAGATGGAGAGTGATGGTGTTAATGGCCCACGCTCCAGCAACAGCTATAGTCCTGAGTGTTTAAAACAGTACTTTTATGCATTTTTACAGGAACCAATATTGCAGAGCAGCTAGATGCAGCAAACGTGGTACAGATGGCCTGTCCGCCTCCCACATCCCCAGTAGGTACTCTCCCCCCTGCAAACCATGACATGTACAACCAAAGTATGGTACCTCCAGTTAATGTGCCTGGATCTGTTGCTTCAGTGCCAATGCCGTCAGTTGCCATGCTTCAAGACAGAAAATTTGTCTCGGCACCGTCAACGTCTCTCCCAGGGGGTGTCATTCCAAAGACAGAGAGATTTGACTCATGACAGTTAATTGAACTTTAGTGCATGCATAGGTGGGGTGCGCAGTGTGTTTAAGAGGAGTCTGCTAAATGAACTAAGAAGCCGCTTGCCTGTGGTTTGAGTTTTTGTACTGGTGCTTAACATGTAAGGCAAGGGGAACAGCCTTAAATGTGATGGGACTGAAGAATATAGCTTGTCCACTTGTAAGTGAATTACTGCAGAAGCGTGCTCAGTAAACTTAAGCAATGGATGCATAATGAAAAGCTGCTGAGGGCTTGAGCGGGCAGCTTAAAGAATAACATGATCAATATACTAATACATCTTAGTAAGATTCGTTATAGAATAATAATTACCAGGGCTATAATTTTGTACCTGTCCACTGAGCTAGAAGGCAGTGGTTAAAGTAAGTCTCAAGGTTCCATACAGTTTTTTTACAGTACCCATCTGGTTATTATCTTCCCTTTGGTTTGACTGAGGACATTAGTTTAAATGCAGATGCATTTTCCATAGTTGCTCCTCGTGGGTAACAGTACGTGTAGTTGCCAGATATGTTTCTTTGCAGTAGTCTAAAGGACTGTTAACAGTGGTCATTTTGTCCATTTACTGTTCAGTCATGTAATGATAAGGTGTGACTGTAGGGTACAATTAATGTTTTAGGTCAAGGAATCTCAATTTTTGTAAGCAACACCCTTTAGTGTGGTAAGAAAATTGAAATACTTAGAGCTTTAAGAAATAAACAGTAGTTCTCTCTTTCTGTGCGATCAAGAAGAGCATGCTAGAAAACTGTGTAGATCACCCCACCATAAACTAAGACAAAAATCATTTTTTCGAAGATTTGCCTACATTTAACACCATTGTACCTGAAGTTGCAACTGCTGGTTTCCATTTGATTAAAAATCAATAATAAAATTATTTATCCAAACAGTCAAAATAATTTATTAAAAAAATGGCACTACATTGTGTGACTAGCCGTGACTGTCAATTACATTATTTTTGTACGGTAGCATCATTGACATGTACTCAGTAAATTTTTGCAGCCTAGTCCGGGTGATCTCAGCGTGTCAATCCTGGAATATGCACCAGGAGCATCATGAACTGGTATAATGAGGCTGAAGAGAGTGCCTTGAAGCTAGGCTGAAGGTTTTGGCTTCTGAAAAAGTGCAATCTTGGCTATTGTTTGTGATTATCAACATGGAAAACCATCTTTTGCAATAATATTTTTGGGCTCTTTCTTTCACAGTCTTGCTACTGTGATTAATTTATAGATCTAGAATTAAGCAATGAGAACAAATCACATGCATATACGTGTAACGGTTTGAAATACTGTTTTTCTTGTTGGTCATTCAAAAGTTATTCAGAAATTCATTCCTGAACAGTTTTACTAGTTGTAGAAATAGTGCCTGCCAACTTTTTCCAAATCAGAGGTCGGGGCTTTTTAACCCAAGTTTGCCAGGATTTCAGAAGAGAATCTTTAACTTTAAACATTCAGAAACCCAAAGTTTGAGGAGTTTCTATTATGGTTTTTTTGAGACTGTGAGTCCAGCCTTTTTCCTTGTGAGCCCCAAATTTTTGTAACTTTTTAAACTGCAAGTCCAAGACTTTTAATTAATTAACACGGCTCTTACACTTCTGAAATAAGCTTAAGTCTTTCAGATTTCTTCTGAAGCTGTCAATATAAGCTTATCGTGGCCTCCAAAAAATTCAGAATAGGCTTCTTTCTCAATCTTAACATTAAGAAATTGTAAAGAGGCATCTGTCCTATTATGTAAACAAACATCAGATCAAAAGCAAATCTTGACCCCGAAATGTGAAGTTGACTCTGGGAAGAATTGAGACTGAATTTGGTGAAAAGCTGAGATGTCAAGACCCTTCAAATCAGCCAAAATTTTGTGAGGCTGTTCCTAGAGAGACCATTCACCTTTCCAAGTGTTCAAAAGACAAACATACGCTTTTTGACAAGGTTCTAGATATAATTTTTATGTTTTGAACAGCAATCACAAGTCAATGGTCGTAATTTTCAGCAAACTGTTAAAACTCATGCTAACCGTTAAATCTGTGGACAAAATTCTATGGTGTTGCCATTCAAAAGAAATCTTTTTGGCAGAACTTTTGAGCTTGGGATTTTGCATATTTTATTTTTAAATATATTTAAAAAGAAATTGGATCTTTTTGGTGAAGTTTTCGTTTAGTCATTAATATAGCCTAGCCTGCCTGAGGTGTGAGAGTTGGCAGGTACAAGATACAAAATACAAGTCACTCACATGTGACTAACAAAACTTTGATCTGGTCGGGAGATTTATAAAGATCCTTATATTTTGGTATTGGTAGTATTAAGGCATTATAGGATGCAACTCGTTCAGGTAGGCAACATACAATTATAGCTGTTTTAAAATTGTTCAGCTAGCTGATCTAATAGGAGTTGCTTTACATACCGTTCAGGCTGTAATTACACACATACAGCTGCAAATCTTTGAGGTTGTGAAGCTAAATGATAAAAGGGATATTTTTTTTAAACTGTGCATACATGTACTGTAATGTGTTAGTGTTTCATGTAGGTCTAATAGAGTTGTGATTAATGTGAGACATGCAAGGTCATGCAGGTTTTGGAAAATATTATGTCAAATATTAGGACAATTATTGTCTAATGCATCCTTCCCAACAGTAATGTTGTATACATTTAGTTGTTGTCTAGTTAGTAACTGGCATGCAATTTTCCACTGCAACAAACGCGTCCACTTCTCCCGTCATTGTTTGACAGGATGAAATATTTTTGTTATTATACATTTTGTACTCACCATCTGTCTTCTCATTGGCCAGTACTGGAGCCTACAGTTAATTTGAAAATCATCCCAACTTACAGATCAGTTAGTTATCTGCTAGACGATTACTGACTAATCTTTAGGTTGTATGTGCCATGCATGATTTCCAAGAGCAATGTCAAATTGGTGTCCTTATTTTCTTAAAAACAATGTATAACTTAACAAATTATTTGATTTGGTATTTGTGACATCCAAAATAAAGGTCAAAGTGAGTGTTATCAACCTGAGCTGATAACGTTTAAGAGACCTTGATTATTTTGGATATCACTATAACTGAATCTTTTTTAAAATTGTTTATTATCAGTCACCTTCCAATCTTGCTTCTAGTTTTTGTCCCCTTCAATCATTTTGAACTTTCCCAGCTGCTTAGTAATTGATACTGATTTCTTCAAGTCTTTTTACCCTTCGTCTTCCATGATCACAAAAACAATAGTAATATTATTGTGAATATTTGACGAAATGGCCCCAAACAGCATGACCTTGCAGCAATATTAGTTTAGATCTCATTAACCGCAGTTAACTCCCGTGGTTATATAAGTCTAAGTGAGTGTGTAAAAAAGGTCTTGGTGGCGGTCTTTTCAATCATTGTGCTACCAGTTGTACATAGGAAACCAATAAAAACTTATTTAGAACATACTGCTTCTTAACTGTTGTTTTGTTTGTTTGCCTATTTTTTGCTGGTTGTCATTACCTTCCATTATCCCCAATAGGTCTTAGGGGCTGGTCGTTTATCATCTTTGGCAGTGGGTGAGGGGGGGGTTGGTTGGCCATTTTATTGGGGGAAGGTCATTTTCAAAAACATTATTGGTTTTGGGGGGTCATTTTCATGTGTGAAAGCATTAACTGGGGGGTCATCTTTATAACTTTTATGAAAGTAGTAAACAAGCAGTAACAGTTAAGCGTAAATTGATTGAATGTAGAAGCCGTGAATAGTAACGCCAATGTCATAAACATGACTAGATAAATTATGTGGTGAACTTCGGCACAATTTGCCGGTAGAATATTTGTAACTTCCACAGCAATCTGGTGGGAGTCACGTTCTCTTACTGGAATCCAGACTGTGAGCAGTATCTTTCTTGTTGGAAAATCATAGCGGAGCTCTCTCGCGCGCTAAGTGCGCGCAGCGGAGCACCAAGTATGGGTAACAAAGTTTGGTAACCTATGCATCCGAGAAATTTTGGTAGTCACGTGACCGTACGCCCGCCCGACCGACCGTCCGTCCGCACCACAGGTATACCAATGTAAAGTAACTCAATATCAACATTCAGGTATGGCAACTTGAGGTTATTTTGGCGGGAAATCGCATAGCCACCCGCGTCTTGTGAAGCAGAGACAACTAAAGAGTCAATAAAAAGGGAAAGCGGAAATTGTTTCTGTATCGTGTTGTCTAAAGTATCAAGCTTGGATTATTTGTCATATCCACAGATTTGGAATATAGAGCGAGATAAAGACAGAGAAAAAGAGAAAGTGAACGAGAGGCCAGCGAAGTTCAACGAGAAAAGGAGCGACAGACAGCTAGAGCGAGAGATAAAAGACACAGGAGACATTTTTTCGTTGGAAGAACAACATGAGAATTTTGTAGCGGTGGGAAAATAAGAAATACTAGCGGACACCAAGGTGAACATAAAGGTGAAAAAAAAATGAATAAGAATACGTACGACATTTCCTCCATAAAACGGGTAACCAGGAAGTTTCTGGAAGTTTCAAGTTGTAGTCGTGCAAAACAACGGCAAAGAAATGTAAAAAAAGTGTTAGACCTATTGTTGCTTTTTCACCGTTCTCTTTTCCTTTGCCGCTTAGCATTACACAATTATATATTTTGTTGGAGCAAACTGTAAATATTATGGAGAGCTTCGCTTTTAGCCCTGGCTAAACCTATATATTTTTAAGGAAAAAAAAGAGACTGCTGACAGTCTAATTGGAATCTGTATTGTTTGATCATTCATTCGCCCGTTTCTTCTTTTAGCCTTTTTTGCTGTAGTACGTGTAGAACAATGGCGTGATACGGTCTTGTGTAGTCCTATCCAGGAATTTTCACTACAAAAGCCTTACTTTTCGTGCCCAATGATGAGGATCATTTGGCAATAATCCATCAAAACCACTGAAAAGAGCGCCTTAGCACTAGTAAACTTATAACCAAGTTTCCATCATTTCAGGCCCTTTCCAAGTACCCTTGTCTTTTTAATAACAGATTAACTCAGGGATCTCTCTCCCATATGACTGCTTTAATTTCCCCTCACAAGCACTCACTGTGACAGTGAAATTTCTAGTAACTATTTTATTTACACAGTTTGTTTATTAGACTGAAGTATGGGTACAAACTTTCCGTGAAAAGATTTTTGGGATCGTGTGGGAGGGTAAGACCTAGTAAGGTTTGTCCACCCAACCATCCTAAAAATTGTTGTTACAGTAATACTTGTACCCACCTCCCATAGTTTAAGGAGTGGCGAGTTACCTCAAACGTTTCCACAACTCTGCTATAATTTTGTACATTTAAGAATATTTTCAACATTCACCTTGTCACACCAAACTATAACTGACAACAAACACTTCTCACAAGTCCTGACCACAAATAACCAGTAACTCCAACCTGGTTCTGTTTGATTCATCACAACTTGACATTGTAATATTTATATACAATATTCATGACGACACAAGTTTTGTCCAGGAGGCATACATGCTGAACAGAACAAAAACAGTTTGTTTGCTTTTAAATACACCGCTTACAAATAAGCTCCACGATAAACCTTTAACCTCTGCAGTAAAAAAGGGAATTGACGAGAGGATAATAATATTACTATCAATGGCATTGGCATGAGGCTTCTCAGGTCATCTTAAAATAAATAAGAGAAAATATAGATAACTCTCTAAAAAGGAAATTTACAGGGCTGGTAGTGATTCACTGTCATACAAGCTTCTAAAAAGGCCTATTTGCAAATTTCAAGATTCACTGAAAATCCCTAAAATATTATGATAATCACAACAAATAAAAGAAAATTCCTTTGGCTGTGGATGTAGGCCAGAAAAACAGTAAGTTGCAGCTTCTAATGTGTCTTAAGAAAAGCATAAAAGTATTGGTTTTTATTTGCCATCCCTTTACAAAATTTATCTACTATCTATTAAGTATTTTACTTTTAAACGTTCGACGAATTTTTTTGGCTGGAGGAGACTTGTAGAAGATATACACCGTTAACCAGAACATAACCAAATCCTTGTGACCATTCAAAGAGGTTTCAATATCTGAGTACCAATTTTCCCAAAACGACTTGTTGGTCCAAACTTTTACGACTGAGAATGAAAACTCCCCAATGTGTGTGAACTATGTTACTATTCAAACACAGATCTATGGGGAGAGGGGGTTTCCTTTAACCGCAACCCTCCTCACCCTTCTTGACCCAGATAACCCTTATTTACCTCAGATATAGGGTGCAGTGATTCGGATCAGGATTTATGATCCAAGGTCACTTTAATTGGATCATTGTGCATCAAAGGAACACTAAATCTCATCTGCATAAGGATTCATTAATACCTTTTAAGTACCATGATCTAAGCAGTCTCTGATACAGTGAAACCTCAGTATGATGAAGGGCCATTAAGGGACATGTCACATTTTACTGTTATTACTGGGGTAAGTATATCTTTGTTATTCTGAGGATTGTTATATTCAGGTTCCACAGCTCTGTAATATCATCTGATCGTGATAATACTAAGAGATGGACCAGTTAATTCTGACGTTTTACTCACTCCCCTATAAAAATCCTAGATCCTCTTTGCTTAATGTTATGATGCGAGTACAAAGCATGTATTTTTTCCACCTAAAAACAAAACCTCTTGGTTTGACCACCACAAATGAATGTACTCCTAGGCAGTATTTCATGTGGTGCAAATTCGCTTGTGCATTAATTAAATCTTTACAAAAATTAATAACTATTTTAGAACTTGTTTAACGATTGATACACCTGAAACTGAACTGTGTTAGATAAAGCTTAAAAGATTCCTATGCAATGTCGACTTGGTATCCTTAGGTGACGCCTCATTCTCTGTGACATCACCATCTTCTACCTTTCGTCTGTAAGTCCATAAACCTAGCGTTTTGTCCCACTGGTAATAAGAAAAACAATAAATCATTATTAGCAGTAGTGGCATCTTAAGTACTGACAGAGTAAATTTACATCACTGAATGAAGTTGAAGCAGAAGAAGATTAAAATGATGATATTATTTTTCTAAGGCTTTATTAACCTATTCACCAGTGAACTGCCCATAACTGCCCATATGGATCCACATTCCATTGTAACACTTGTTACATCATCAGTTTTAATGGTCATGTATAACTTTGACATGTACAATGATGTAACTTGCGTGGGGAAAAAGATCTTTTGGGCCATAAATGAGAGAACAGGGGAGTAGAGAACGTGAAAATTTCACCTTCTGGACATGCCCCAACATATAAGAGGCCCCATTAATTTAGTGCCAAAAATAGAAGGCAGCTTAATGCTCAACTTAAAAACAGCATTTTGAGCAGCCTTGGTTCTTTTTGGCCCAACAATGATCAGGCTCAGCTAGGTTCAAAAGGAGTCTTACAGCTAAATTTCCAGTAGCAAATGGGTTAATAAAAGTGCTTAATGTAATTTCCTCTTGTTTGAATTTGTCAAGCTTTTCTCCTAGTATCTTAAATAAATCCACTCACCCTATCACACAAATATACTGGCACTTATTAATAATTATATAACACTCACTGAGGTGCTCACAATCTCAGGGTGATATGGATGCCATGCAACATCACGAACAGTCAATCTCTGATTAGAAGTTAAAGCAAACATTTAAAAAAATTTTACATTAAATATATCAAAAAGGGCCCGTTCTGATCATTCCCTGTCAGAAGCTACAGTACTGGCAAGTTTAGTTGCAGTTTATACGAGTCATTTTAAAGTTCCAAAGGGAGACTTCAGACTTGTAACCTGACTACGCGTCAGAATAGAGCATAAGACAATTAATTTTGTATTTTTCAATCTTTTAAGCACTGGATAATGGAATTTTACAAGAATCCCTTTGATTTTTGCACTCTGCCTAACCAAATTGCTAAGAGCTGGCTTTTTTTTGACTGGCAATCATCGTCTAGGGACGTACTCTTACATGTAGTAACACAATAAAATTGTGAAAATCCTCAATAAAACTTGTAAGCTAACAACTTGAGACAATTTTGTAGTATTTCCTAACATCTACTAAAAAAATAAAGACAGTAGCAGGATTATTATTTTTTAACTTTGTAAATAAAACAGCCTCTTTTAAAATAACCTAAAATTTTTCCAGCCAATCACTAGAAGTAATGCTACCAAAACAGAAAGATGGGTTAGGATTTCCATGGGAAAAATATTAATTCACTAATCTCTATGATTAAAAAAGCTTATTTCTAAAGTTGAAAACTGATTTTTAGGCCCTCTTCCCTGAGAGTTGTACTGTTACCATGGTATGGTTATGAAATTATAGGTACATACCTGTAGTTATCAGGATCATTAGAAAAGAAGATAAATAATGATCTAATACACATTATCAGGTAATTAGAGAACTCTTGTCTATGAACAACCTTATAATCTCTGATCAACATTACTATATCAAGGATACATGCCCCCTTAGCCTGGAGGTGACTTGTCCAGTCAGTGCATCATAAACTATGAGACAAGAACATCTGCATTAAAAAACAATAACATATCTAAAAATAAATAATTTATATTATATTAAAGTCAATTCTGAACAGATACTTTTCGGTTGTAAAACAAAATCAAGTAATGAATAAAATTCACTCAAAATGAACTAAATCAATACTTACTGACAACAGAACCTGTAGAACATCCAGTATAAATATATCGCTGAAAAAATTAAAAAATAATTAATTTATTGAATAAAAATGATTACTAAAAAATAAGAAGTACACTCAACATTCAAAATATAGCAAAGATTGACTCGTGAATAACATGAATATAATCATTAAGATGAATATAATAATAACACGCTTTTTTAGAAATTATTGCACAATAATTTTGTGAAGGTCCCATGGAACGGCATCACTGACAGTATGATTCAGTAACTATAAGAAAAACTAAAATACTTTAAAATTATTGCTGAGAGCAAGAGACAGCAATTTATCATAGACCTGCAATCTCCTACCTGGCCTGTGGTATGCACAGGAGAGAAGTAACATCTTATAAGAGTATACAACACGCTATGGCCACGGTAAGTCATGAGAGATGAGTCACCAGCTAGTTTAGATCGTCTCATTGCTAGTGGAAAGAATGACATTTGGAAGTAGAAATAACACATTGAATATTTGAATTCATTACATGTCAGTCATTTATTATGTACGCTCTTAAGAAATAAAATTATAGCATACTTTTATCATGATATAGTGATAAGTTTTGTTACTAATACACAGTCACTACTAACAGTACAATGTAACGGTAGTGATGGTAACAGTTGTGGCAGTGGCAACTGCCCCCCCCCCCACCCCTTGCCCCTCAGCTAGCTATGGCCATGTAGTAGTAGAGATAGTAGTGGAAGTAGTGGTAGTGGTAGGAGAAGAAGTGGTGGTAGCTGTAGCAGAAGTGTTGACCGTAACAGTGATGGTAGTTGTAGTAGTAGTGGTATGCTAATAACTACCACTGCCACTGCCAATGCCACAATCAATACAATAAGACTTATCATTGTAGTGACTGTGCTATTAGTAATAGCTTTGGGTGTTACAATGATAGTGGTCATGACAGTAGAAGAAGTACTTCAGTGTGGTTCTATTACAGTACCACATGCCACTGAAATCTTGATTACTATTATAAGCATTTAATTTTACTATTATTATCAACAATAAAAACAATGAGCACAAATTAATGAAGGACCCTTATATCTGTCATAAGCACACCACTGAATTCCGTACACTTACATTTTCTTGGGACTGGTTGCCACCGGTAATCCCACCTTTGTCCTGCTACAGCACGTTTTGTAGCCTGAAGTACAAAGTTCAAAAATAATTATGATAAAATGTAGAAAGTCTCAATTAGTAATACAATGCTTTTGTAAACTATTACTTTGCCAAATACAGTTATGGTTGTTCATGTTCTGTTAGAAAAATAGTTTCTACATACTTAAAGTCTATAAAAACTGCTGACACATACACAAGCTGTCTAGGTAAGTAGATCACACTGTAATTCGACCTTACGTTCATGTACCTACACACATAATGTCAAGCAAAGGAAAAAAGAGAAACAAAACAAAACAACAAATCTCCCTACATACAGGGCATCATAATTTCAATCATAATTTTATTATTGTTTTCTTTTTTTTTAATCTGCAAACAGAAGGATCCTTAAGTGAAGCATAAGACAGTACCCACTCCATGAAAAGTTACCTCAACCCCTTCTTCATTAGAAAACTTTCTCATGTCCCATAACTTGATTGTCTGATCTTTAGAGTTTGTGATAAGATGACGACCATCTCCCTGAAATCATTATCAAGCACATGTAGCAATCAGAAACCAGAACGTATAGAAACTTAAATGACTGAACCCAAAGGAAACAGTTAATTTTGTTTTCCGAGAATCCAACATTGAGATTCGAGGGAAACAAAATTGACTGTTTCCCGAGGGACCAGTCTTCAAGTGATTTGTTACATAGCTGGAAATTTTGAAGCTGGAAATTCATTAAACCTCGTTGTACCGTGGTCATCAGTCAAAATTCGTGGGTAACAGTGTAATGTTACCCTCTAATGTCATAGATTTTGCAATGTTGCCTGCTGAGAGATCTGGGCAGGAAATAGTTTCATTCTTAGACGTCATGTGACTTTGAAGTAACCAATGAGAGCCCGCACTTTTGGGAAAAAAATTTCCAGATATATAACAATAACAATAATAAAATATAGCCATCAGAAAACAAAACTAACAGACCCTTTGTCACAGAAATGTTTGTCAAAGGGTGTCAGTGGCACTTGGCTAAGATGTCCTTTTTATTATTGTCACCTTTCCTTAAGGACCATTCCATAATACAGAAATCTCTCTCCTTAACTGTCAGTTCTATTCAGGGTGCAAAGTAAGTCAGTTTTACAGCTTGTCCTTCACGCAAGCTGTAGTTAGCATTTGCTAGCCCGAAAGTCTTTTGACTAGCCCCCCAAAGTTTTTTGACAAGCAACATTGATTATACTTCTTCAGCAATTAAATTGATCCCCCCACCACCTTTCCTCCAAAAAATTTTCACTTGCCCACTGGGCAAGTTTTAAGAACAGAATTTACTAGCCCAATAACAAAATCCACTAGCCCCAGGCTATTGGACACGATTTTCTTTGTACGCTGCTATTGGTTCCAAAGATGCTGCCAAAATTTTTTATCTCTTTCTTTAAACCATAGATACCTCTGTGATAATACATCTTACTATACTTCTCATCAATTGCTAGGAGTGTAAGTTTCTTAGTTACCCTTGGATCAATATGGGTGATGCCATCTGAATGTCCTGCTAAAATGCCAACTGGATAGGGGCAGCTCTCATTTAACTGCCGGCGATCCCAAACCTTCAATAAAAACAACAACAATGACATATAAATAATATGGTAATGTCACTAGCCTTCATAGTTAGTTGTCCTAAAATGTAAGCATCTTCTAGTACTAACGAAAATGAGAGAATAAATTACAACAAATACACTATCTAAACTGGTAAAGATTAGAGAAGCAGCTTGGCTTCTTTCTCAGGAACATACATACCTTACAGAGACCATCATCTGCACCAGAAATTAGGATTTGAGAGCTGGAATCTGCAAATGTCACAGAATCTACATCATCTTCATGGCCATGAACCTAAAAGTAACATGATGGAATGTAATGTTTCAAGTGAGATGTCTGTCCGTCTTCGTTGTTGTTTTTAACATGGCTGTTTTTTACATATTTTTTAAGCTTTAAGCTCCACTGTTGTGGCACCCCTGCCTAATCAAGCATTTATTATTCTTTGTTTCAGTATTTACAGTATTTATAATTCTTTTTCTTTTTCTAATTATGTAATAGGCAATGCTTATAAAAATAAAATAAAATAAAATAAATAAATAAACAAATAGATTGAGTATGAGAACATGAATACAGCTTCACATACTAATCACCAAAAGGTAATGTACAACGTAGGGAAGGGAGCACAACTGCCAAGGAGGCAAAATTAATGACTGAGACCCTTTTTTTACAGACTTTAAAAAGGAAAAATAAACCTTTCCCTCCCCTACCCCTCCAAGGATTAATTTATGCATTAGATTCAGCATATGAAAAGATATGCAGTCTCAATCAAAGCCATTCCAAAGTTATTCCAAAGTGAAAATTCCCAGCCAAGCCAGACGGAATGAATGGCTGAGCCATCCCAAATTAAAACAGGCATTCTTAATTTACTGATTCAGACGCAGAACTTAAAACATAATTAATTCATCGTATTAGGTTTAATTTGGCTCATGAAAAGTTCAGTGTCTGAAAGAGGCCTCATCCTATGTAGGTTTTTCTTCATTACTCACCCTTAATGTCCGCTGATTACTTCCTCGATCATAAACGTATATACATGCATCATTGGCTCTAGATAGGGATAGTTTATACTAGAATTACACAATATATTTTTTTTATAACAACAAAATAACAAGTTAACCCATTCGCCCCTGAGCCACCTGTAACCACCCATGCCGGTCCATGTTCTTTCTACCGCTTGTGATGTCATCAGTTTTAACGGTCAAAGACAACTTTGTCGGCCAACTTGTGCAGAGTGAAGAGATCTTTCAAACCATACCAGAATGAGCACAATTCAGACAATGACACTGGAGAACGAGGCAAAAAACCATGTAACATTGACCTGAAAATTTCCATGAAAATCTTGTTTCACTACCCAACTACCTTTCCTTTCATCTAATCCTAAGATCCTAAAAGCTTTCCTAAAAACCTTTGCCACCAAAATGAAGCCTACTAAATTCCTACCAACAGAAAAAAAAAAGAGGCAAGAAAAGCGAAAAAAGAGGAGAGGAGAGAAAGCGAAAAGTAAAAGTCAAGACTGCTGTGTCGCTTTTATATATGTAGCTTTACTGCAGCTTTAAACCCAAAAACTATCTAGAAATTTTGCTTTCTGCGCATGCCCAAACTTGGGAAGCTGATATTTTGCATCTGGATCAGAAGGCTGCAAAGTGTAAGACCTGTAAACAGCTTTGTGGTAAGTTTAGCTCTTAATAGCACCACAGTGACCAGAACACCACTCGACTAGCTTTAAAACGCGTTTTTCGGCAAAATCTCCAGGGGCTAATGGGTTAATTGGGTTGTCTATTGCATGGCTGTTATACAAGTACTTCTGCTGACAGTTGAGGGTTGCAATTCAAACTAAAAGAACTTCTGATATCCTGGAAACACTAACATACAGCATTCAAAGGCAATAACTGAAAAATCCATTTCTTTCATTCTTTTGTCCATACAAAGCTTTTATGGTAGATTTTCATAAGTAATCTGATGTAAATTGTTCTTGCAAAAAGCTTTTTATTTTTGAGAAAAGTATGAACATTAGTTTCCATGGTTGAGTCTCAAAATGGCCCTGTTTTCAAACTTACATCCCCTAACATCAACTGTCCTCATGTTCGAAAACGAAGCCACATAGAAAAATTTGGACACCTTACATCAACAGGACAACTCTTTTTCTTCCACTAGAGGATACTTAAATGGCAACTGACATCTCTGCAATATCTGATAATTTTTTGACTTATAATGTTACAACTGCAGTGTTTTTAAGTCCTCATGAGTTGACTGTGTTTGAATAAGGTTATTCATGTACTCATTCATTTAACTCTACAATATAGGTCGTGGTGGAGGAGGGGGAAAATTGGTGCTCTGATGTCATCTTTTAGTGGGTAACCAACTTGGATATTGCTGAATATTAAATTAAACAAGAAAATAATTCTGAATCTGGAAATGGAACACATATTAAGCAATTGACTTACCCTGCTAAGATTTCTCTATTATCTTGTGAAAATTTTATTGAAAAGGCACAGAATCTTGCATCGTCTGGACTAAAGAAACGACAAGTAAAACCAACACAATTTAAAATCCTCCAAGGTAAAGTGCTCCAAAGTGAAGAGTTCTGATCAAAGCAAAATCAGGCCCATTAGGAGTATTGCACATTCTTAAATATCCAACCAGGCACAAAAGTGAGGGCAATTTATTGTTCAAACAAAAGGTTGTTTGGTTCAGAGGGCAGTAATCAATTTTTTCATCCTACAAACTGTCACTTTAACTTGGCTAACTCTAAATCTGCAGGTGAAATTTAAAAAAAATCATTACTCACTTTAAACATAAAGCAGTGTGTGATTCATGATCCCCATAGATGTTACAAAGATGAACTACAAGTAAAATGAAAATTAAACAGCAATTAAGAAATGAAACCAGAAGTCAACAACTCTTTAGTGTGTTTACTTTTTTAAACAAGACATAAGGTATACATATTGCAACTGTCCATTTGATTCAAACACTTTGTGTTACTATTTTTGACATTTTCCCGGGTGAGGGAAGGGGAGGGGGGGCGGGGGTACGCCGGATTTCAAGTGACGGAGATGATCAAAGGATTTTTGGGGGTTTGAAATTTTTGTTTCTGGGATTTTTAGGGGAAGGAAAATTTGGCTAGCATTTTTTGGATGGCTTAGTTTTTTGGGTATTCAAAACAATCTGAAGATTTGTGGCCATGCATGTGTGTCTCAGCCACCTAGTCTGTTCGGACAAAGTACAACCCCACTTGTTTTGCAGTGTTTTTAATATTTAAGCATTACATTGCACCTGTTTCACCAAACCTATGAAATTTGTTCCATAAACAAACACAAACATTCAATTTCTAATGTCTTTATTATTCGTGTTATATCACTTAATGCTTATTCTGACCTGAGCCCATGTGTGGGACCTCAAAACCACAGCTTCAGAGAGACTACACGTACGTCTGGCACACATTTCAGAAATTACGCACTTTGCCAAGGAGTCTTTAGAGACTTTAAGGAGTAGCTACCATTAAGAGGAATCTCTATTGAAAACTACATACTATTCAACAAAAATAAATCTGTTATCTCTTCCAACCCTTAAGTGTTAAGATATAAATTAGAAATTATTTCAGTTGACTTACTATAGTCAGACCAGCTTGAATAGATGAGGTACTGTTGATCAGGGCTACCAAAAAAGAAACACCAAATTATTAATGAATTCATAACAACTCACAAACGTCAAAAATAAATATTACATTGTCATTTAAGAAAGTAGTCAACATTTTGGGATGTCAATGGTTTCCTCATAAAATGATGTGTGAGGAACAAGGACAGAAACTCCACACTGATTATGTGTCACTACCCAAATTTGGCTAGTGCTTCTGATTGGTTGAAGCAAATTTCCCATATAGCACAACCAATCAGAGGCACTTCTCAGATCTAGGGAGTGACACTTAACCAGTGTGGAATTTCTGTGCTCTTTCCTCAGCGTCATTTCACAGGGAAGCCAGTGGCGATGTTGGGAAATATTGGCTGCTTTCTCACACTATTAATTTTGAAACAAGTGCCATTTTTATGGCTGAAAGTTGTATCAGTGAACCAACTTTTCTATTTTCAAATCTGGCACTTGTAAAATAACACTGTAGATTTATAAGATAAACTTCTTTTCCATGCAGATTTAGTTATACTTTAATTTACTCCTCCCAATTAGTACCTGTAATCAGTGTCAATAATGCTCCAGCCAACATCTCTGGCTGTTATGTTACGGAATTCTTTAAATTGTCCATTTGTTGTATCATACAGCCGAATGTGCTGGTCTATAAAAGAGGAAAGATTAAATCAATGAAAGGCATTCAAAACTTAGTTGCTCAGTTGTATGGAAATGTATACCACAACTTGAGCTACATTGTAAATGTTTAATGAGGTATCTTCATACATTAAGAATACTATTAATCTACAAACAAACTAACCTTGGCATGCTGAAAGGAACACTGTGCCATCACTTGAATATCTGCCGCAAAATAACTTCTCGCGACAATGGGCTTTTGTCTCCATTTTGTTCGGGATAAAGCTAAACAACACAAAAAGCAATCATGTCATGAAAGAAGAAAGTGAGAAAAAGGTAGCGTACCACTACACTTGTCCAGAAAAATTCCTCATGAAGGACTAATAATGGCAAATTGGACTCAAAAATGGCAATATTGAGTTATGAGTATTGAATTTGTATTTTTTAATTACAAGCACTATGTTTTGCTAATTTAGTGAACAATGTACCTTTTATTGTTTTCTTGACAGTAGCACAATGATGCTACCCAAATGTTGAAAGTTATTTTGGGAGTTTTTACTTGTTTACACAATACTAAACTGTCACTGGCAAAAATATTATATATTCCCTTTTTCTCTTGGAAATTATTTTTGTTAAATTGTAAAAATATGCACTGAACAGGGGGCCAGAGACTTCCCTTGGCTACTTTCATACCAGGAAACAACATGAAAATACAAGCAAAAGAACTTCCTAACTGTCTAACTGTTGAATTCCCCTCCTACTAATAATTTTAATGCAAATACCTGGTGATTTCAGATCATTATATGTTTCTAGGAAACTGCCCACCTACCCCTCCCCTAAGCCAACATTAACACTAACTTCTCACTTAGGGCAAAATGTTGACTTAAGGGAGGGGTAGGTGCTCACTTTCCCAGAAATGTATAATGATCCGTGATTTCAAACCTTAGTGACAGCCCTTACAGCATAGTATACCTGTAACTATAACAGAAATAAAAATAATAATAAATTATTAACTACATGTACTTATGTCAGGGACTTACTTGGCATAAGCAGCTGCCTTGTCACCTTGAGAAAAATTTTGTCTTCGGCAAAGAGAACTTTCCCTCTACAAATTAAAATAAATGTTGTACAGTGAGCTAAGTTAATTACTAAGTTTCACTGTTGAGGCCTTACAAGGTCAAAATGAAGTTTAGGTTAAAATTTTTTAACCTAGGTTGATTCTCAGTTTTCGTTCTTCTCTAGTCATTCATGAATTAGGGCCAGCAGAAAAAGGAAACTGAGAATCAACCAAGGGTAAAAAATCTTGACCTGAATTTAATTTTTCCTGTAACATATATACTGAATGATATACTGTCAAGCCTTCTTAGTACAAACAAGGGGACAGAGAGAAGTTTCCACATTACAGAGGTAGCCGTATCATAGAGGTATCTGTATTATAGAGGCTGGAAATGTATGAACATTTACACCTTTAGGACCAAAGAATAGAGAAATGTCTGTATTATGGTGGTCTCTGTACACCGTATTATGGATGCGTTAAGGTTTGTAAGAAGTCTACCATCTTTGGGACACACAGGACTGGCTATAACGGAGAGAAGTCTGTATTGTAAAGGTGGCAATAGTACATGATCTGTATGAAGTGGGTCATCTTTAAGACACACAAGACTGGTTGTATTAGAGAGGTGTCCATATTGTGGAGGTAGGGATTGTACAAAGAGTACCTTCATAGGGACACACAGGACTGTCTCAAATAGAGAGGTGTATACTACGGAGGTGTCTCTAAGGAGATGTTCAAATTGCATACTGACAGTAGAGTACATACGCCAAAATGCTGTTAGAACATCAGTCAGAACTAAATGTACATTACCTACCATATGAAGTCTTGAACAAATATTCTGATTATTTGACAGGGTATTACTAAATCCCTGGCCACTTGAGAGCATGGTATCCTGTTTAAACATACTTTCCTGAAAGTGAAAAGAGGATAAACATTGTATCCTATAAACCAACTTTTGCATATTTATTTCTTCCACTCTGGCCCAGTGGTCCTGATGTCTGTTCAAAAATGCAGTCAATATAAGGCTGTGATTAATGAGACTTAGGTCCTTTTCTCATAAACTCCAGACTGCACATTAACTGCACTAATATTATAAGTTCAAAAATGTAAAATGTATAAACCACACCTAATGTTGTACTTACATCAATAGACAATGTACTTGGGTTGGGATCAACTGTTGATAGATACAAATGTAAACAGTACATTACACCACACACAGTGGAGGAATATATCATAAATCCTCTATCAAACCTCATCAACCATGTTTTTGGCAAGTGAGGTTACTGCTTAAGAAGAACCCACTCGCTTCTACAAATTTTTGTGAAAAACACCAATAGTCAAGCCTTTTTCTGGTCACTGCCTGGGGCTAAAAATAACAAAAACTGACCAAAACCTAGTTTCCAAGTTGAACCAAATCTGGCTTTTGTTCTTGATAATAAATTAGGGCTTCCAATGGAGAAGTTGGAGGCATGTGTGGCCGAGCAGCTAACACTTCAAACTCTGAATCTGAAGGTTAGGGGTTCAAGCCTCGCCCTTCTTGTTGTTTCCTTATACAAGGAACTTTAAACCACTTTGTCTCCCTCTTTACACAGGTGTATAAATGAGTACCAGCGACATACTGCTGGGGAAAACCCTGTGATGGACTAGCATCACGTCCAGGGAGGAGTAGCAATACTCCTATGCATGCGTCATGCTGAGGAAACGAGGATAAGCTCCGGCCATTTGGGCCTTTGGCTTGTGTGCACCTTTTTTAATGGAGGAGGTAAAACTTTGATAGTCTGTTGGTTTAAAATTGCCATTACCCCCTTGACTTTTCTTTTTCACTTGGCTCCACCTTGTTTCTTTCATTTTCCTTTCCCCTGTATTTTTTTTGTTGGCCATTTATTTGTCCTAAAGTAAAACTTATTTCAAAAGAGGTGCAATTGGTTAGTGGAACAAGACAACAGTGATTTATTGCTTCATTGTTGTCCATTTTGAAATCACTGGTGGTACATAATTGAATGTTTACTTGAAAAACAAAATTAATGGAGAATTGTATGGTGCGCCCCTTCAGTTCTTTCAATGACAGAACTGACTGTCTGACATATTATCATTATTATTATCATCTTTATTAATCATTATACAGTTTGCACCATACATTTTGACTCATGCAGCCAGAAAGAGGTATTTTTGACTAACTGAATACACCATAGTGACCTACGACGTGGTCACCTGGTGTCTTCATTCATAGACATTCTGATGAGGGACGCTGGGGTGGCATCCACCAGCAAACACTCAGCCTGCATGGACAATAGAGCGGACTGGGCGGCCAGGTGACTAGCTCCGCTGAGGCTGTTATGAAGCAAGAGTGTAGCGTGATTGTGAGATGGCGTGATTTTTTTATTCCTTTGATTTTGTTAATAATAGTTTCACTCGTCTGTCAGAGCGACAGAGAACTTGATGACAGATCGCATTAAAAACTAAAGCTTATAGATTCAAGAAAGTCACGATTTTGTGTAGTGTGTGAGCGAGCCATTGTACTGTGAGGATCGAAGCTGTGAAATAAACCCTGTTTGCTTTAAAACTGTGATATCGTGAAGAACAGCCCTTTGGCATTCACGACAAGGCTGCCTGAATGAATGATTATTATAACTGATGAAATATGATTTTGCTCTCAACGTACCTGGAGGACTGGGAACATCACAGCAGGGAAAATCATCCCCAAAATCTTCATCATCATCACTGTCACTTGACGATAGCCCATGAATCAAGTGTATTCCACCTCCACCCTCAGCTGTGGCTCTGACCAGACGAGCCTGGCCACTAAGCAAAGAAACAAGACAAGGTCAGTGATATGAATACTCAGACAAATAAGGATACTTCCCTGTGTACCTGCATTTCTTCATTATTTTTATTCTTTGATTCTCTGACACCTCTCTAAAATCAACACTTAATTCCATTCCCAATGGTGTCTGACTATGACAGACAGTTGACTGTATTTACAGGGCTGTCATTAATAAGAGGTGGGAGGCCGGGGTCTTACACCAGCTTCTATGAACGTGGCCTGCATTACTACTTTCAAAGGAATAATCAAACCCAAAGAAACCCATAGCTGTTTGATTCCCCGTCTACTTTTTGTATTTACCCGGCAACTTAAGACGGAATCCACCAGGAAATTGAGTAATTCAAATTTTCAGTGGCCAAAAATCTTGTACCAGAATAATTTAAAGAATATCGCACTCTTTTTTACATTTTCCAAGGGCTAAAGATGTAATTAGTCATCTGTAACAACACCAAAGAAACTTTCTCATGGTAGTCCGAGAAAATGAATGTCAAATTTCACAAGAATTGTGAAAACACAGGTAAAATTCTAAAAATTTCATGTGTAAGAAGTCATTTTGTGAAATTTGACATTTATTTTCTCGGGCTCCCATGAGAAATTTAGTGTGGTGTTAATACAGATGACTAAATACATCTTTAGCCTTGAAAAATGTGAAAAAGAATGCAATATGCTTTAAATTATTCTGGTACAAGCTTTTTGTTACTTCACTTTAGAGAGATAATAAAGACATTGAACATAGTAATGCTATTTGTTGTTTTTTTTCTATTTGGATCCATAACATTAGAAAGTTACTACTTAAGTCAGCTGGTATGCTAATATGAATATTGTTGTTATTTTATGCTAATGAGGAGGACAAAAAAAGGTACGTGTGCCCCAATAACACTATAGTTTGCACCTTGGTTTGTACCTTTTTCATTGTTTTCTGAATAAGCATATATTGTAACAATCTTCCTTTGCACATTGGAGTCGACTTAAGAAAAACACATTGTATGGTTAAGCCATGTTTGCAATTAGCTAATCTCCCATGATACACCATGTTTGTCCCCCAAAATTTTGCAAAAGCATTGTCTTCCAATTTCTCTTGGGATGACTGTAACTACCCAGGAGAAATGAGAAAAAAAAAAAAAAGGCTATGCAAAATTTTGGGGGGTAAACATGGTGTATCATGGGAGATGTGCAAATGGCAAATTTGTTTGTTTTGGGATGTTAAAATCAAACGAATGTCACGCAACTGGTAACTGGAACGTATGCGTATTGCATAAACAACTAGGAACACCTGGGAGCATGACCCCTTTTGTGTACTAAATACGAAGAAAAGAAAACTGCTCGCAGATTACCACTCTCGCTGCTACGCAATTAAAGCTCGAGTATTAAACCATTTGTAGCAAGAAGAAAGACTCAAGTCTTCCCCAAAACTCTTCTTCGTTTTGATACGTTATAAGACCAACGTAAAAGTCCACTGCAACAAAAATACATCAATAAAAAAATGAATTCTACTTTTAAGGGTGCCGTCATCTTACCTGCGGAGCAAAAAAGCCAGAACGCTTACAAGATCCGATTCATTGTCGCTTTCAGTGTCTTCACTGAGCGCAGAATTTGCGCCCTCGCGCTGCGAATTTGAGGTACGTTCTCTATCGCCACCCGAACGACGAGTATGCCTGCTACCCATAATGAGGTAGGAATGAGAGAAAAGTTCTCAAATTCTCGGCAAAAAGCGAGTTTTGATCACATTTCTTGCATAATGGCCATGCACAAAGCTCAAATTCCTTGATCTTGTTGTTAGAAAACCTAGCCTCACTTTCAAGTTGTTTGGCGCAAGGAGACTGGACGCTGTAACACGAAAATCCAACATGGCGAATCGGTCGATTTCCAAGAGACCTACAAATAAATGGTCGATTGACTTGACTAGTCGGTGAGATCGTGAACATTATTTGAAGTAATCATTTCTTTATTATACGTTCTAACGTTCTTGTGTCATTTTGACTCGTTAGACCGCGGTATATACAGTTCGTTCAACACAGTGATTTGCCTTCTCCTCCTGGATTCAAAAGAGAAAACCAGTCCCAGCATGTGGTGGGTATCTTGATAAAAGTTAGCTCTTTGTTGATAAATTAAGCTAAATCTTGCGCAGTTAAAATCCAAGATATGAGAAGAAGTGAACTTTCTGTGAATTATGAAGGAGTTTTAGTTGATTTTAAAATTAACTGTCTCCATTACTACGTTTTTGTTTTTACAGGAGTCACGAGAAGCAAACAGCACTCATTTAGTAGCCAAGGTATTTCTTTTCTTAGATCGTAGAAACCCCTCCCTTTTTCGGTAATTAGAAGGTTCATTAGGTTGTTCAATTGACGGAATCAATAATATAATATTATTCAACGTTACTGTAAGGTTACACAGGTTTGAAAATGCCAGCTGGCAGTAGAAATGGTAATCAATCAAGTCGACCAAACAAGTTTTGTCCATTGGGCCATTTGCATGTTGGTATCTTTTTTAGATTTAATCCCAGGGAGGTTTGAAACAACAGAAGCTCTAACTACAGTGTATATAACTGGTTACAATTGACGCACAGCTGTATCAGAGAGGAGAAGTGTGACATCACAAAAATTCCAATTTTTGAAATTTATGGGATGGGTTGGTATATTCGTATGTGTAATCAAATGGTGATGAGTGAAATTAGGGAATAATTTCATGCGCGTTTTGTCCAAATCCTTATAATTTCTGAGCCTTTAGGCGTGGGAAATTATTAGGATTTGGACAAAACGCAAGTGAAATTATTCCCTAATTTCACGAGTATACCATTTGATCACCTATTAATATCATGGGTGACGAATGAGTTTTCCGATAAAATACCTGTTAGAATCCTTCTTGATGTGCTTTTTCGTGTGTTCAGGTTTTCTAAACTGTCTTTTTGTGCCCTGACATCTTCATTCATGACTTTTTAAAACTTCGTCGCCATCTTGACACTGAGATGTACGGAAGGTTGCCATGGCAATTTTTAATTTCACATGTGAAATTACAAATTAACGCTGAAATTTTGCGCCAAAATTAAGGAGTAATTCGTCACCTATGATATTAAGAAAGATCAAGGTGAAAAAAGCCCCCTGGCCAAAAATCAGCCCGTTAGTGGAAATTCGTGAGGAGATATAAGCACCCATTTGCCCTGATGACTCCATACAAATCATCCTAAAATTGGTTTGGATCTTTACGTTAACAATCCAGGCCTATTTTAGAAGGATTTATATGGAGTCATCGGAGCATAACATTGATTATATCTCCACACCAATTTGCACCATCTGAACAGGCTGCTTATTAGCAAGTGAACATTTTTCATCTTGTTCTTTCTGTATATGTCAACCAATCCCATAATTTTTCAAATTTAGCTTTTGCGACGTCATCACTTCTCTTTTCTATGCTAGGAATAACCCGGGGATAAACTACCTTCCCATCCAGGGGAGAAGCTATGTCACAAGATCAATGTTGTTGTTTTAGGTCAATTACTGTCTTAGTGCCTTTATCCATATATTAAAATGCTCCCGCAGAGATATGGAGAAGATATCAAACAAATCTACTGGTTAACAGGGAGCTCTGGCCATTATAACTTTGTTGTTGATTTTGGCAAGCATTTGAAAAAGTTTGCCTGATTTTTTTCAAGTTTTAACCCATGGCCATCCTTGCCATCTGTAGCAAAAGATGTCAGGAAACAGTTTCAGTCACTAAATATGTTCTTAACAGTCCAGTTTACAGCTGAATATAAACATTAACAACACATTAATACAGGGTTAGCCTTGACGCAAAGTAAAATATTCAGAAATTCTGGCAATTAAGTGTTTGAAATTTGAATGTACACGATAGACAGAGTAATAAACAGGTCTTTTTCTCACTGGAATTTTTGAATTTATTACTTCAGATTGAGGCTAAGGCTGTAAAAAAATTCATCTTCACTTCTTTAATTCAGCGGTCATAGCGAGCTCGAAAATGGACTATAGGCTGATTAAGCAACAGAACAGGAACGTCAGTTGATGATGGCACATGCAAATTAAACAACTGGCTTGATCAATGGCAGAGTGGCAAATTGGGCACCGGAAGTCATGTTTAGTCCTTTCCGCTCACTTTCCCGTCGTCAAGTGACATTCCTGTCTTGATGCTAAAACAGCCCATTAAATCAACAAAACTTGACCCTTATTTTTGTGACTCAATATTGATACAAGGACGTGTTTTAGCTTTTTACAAAGATGGCCAATAGCATTACATAGCCCCTTTCGGTTTTAGCTGTGTGGGGCTCCTTGGCTTGTGTGTGCCTTCCCCTGTTGAACAAATTTGTATGAACTCTGCAAAATGATTCATAGATGCATTACTTCTGAAATTTTCTCATTGAGAATATTTGCTTTTATTTTCAGAAATCATGGGATATTGCACTTGGACCATTCAAACAGATTCCAATGAATCTATTCATCATGTACATGGCTGGTAATTCCATCTCCATATTTCCAATCATGATGGTTGGGATGATGTTCCTCAGGCCTGTCAAGGCTCTCCTTGCCATCAAATCAAGTGAGTGATCTATGAATACCAGATTGGATGTCCAGTCAGGGGACATTCCCACACAGGACATGGCCTTGAAACAGTGACGTAGAACAGCAGAAATGGCAGAAACTGTGACAGCGACAGAGAAAAGCGCAAATACTAACAATAGTAAATACTGACAGTGACATGGCTTCCTCCTCAATACAAAAAATGACTGGTTTTGAAATTCAGACCAGGGACATACATACCTCTCCGCCTCCCCTGCAAAGACAAGAAAAAAGACTCTCTTACAGCCTTTTAAGAATCCTTTATTGACCATACTTGTTTGGCCAAGATGGCTGGATATTGGCCTCTCTCATTTCCTCATTATAAGTATCGTCTCAGTACTTTAAAAAATACTTGGTCAATATCATGCCATTTTGGTTTCATGCTTAATCTGTAGCACATATACATGTATCCTAGAAGCCTGTGGAAGCATGATTAACTTCATGGCTGTGCCTTTCACATATACAGTTAAACCCCATTGATGGAGACAGTTAGAGGGCTGTAGAGAATGTCTGTATTAAAAGTGTTTCTTGTTAAGCGAGTTGAATGTAGAGAAAATGTATGGGCTTTCTTTCCCAAGGGACCAGGAAAATTGTTCATAATATTGAGGTGTCTGTAAAGCAGAGTTTGACGGAATGAAACTACAAGGGCCAACAATGTTCTCATTGTACTTCGCAGCTTTTGTATCCATAGAGGGAGAGCATGATCATGCCATGCAGCAGAAGTTCTTTTATCTCCTTGGAAACCTGTCCTTAGTTGCATTAGCACTGTATAAATGCCACTCAATGGGGCTTTTACCGACTGCCACATCAGACTGGCTGGCATTCATGGAGCACAAGGCGGTAAGAACACTTAACATTTTTGTATCACTTAAAATTGTGTGAGGCTATGTTCACACGGTGCCAGATGAATTTGCGACAGTACACTATGTTCACACAGCACCGTTACACATATTTTTGCTCTGTTCAAACAGGACTTTGAACAGTTAGGCATCTAATTTTTTGTACGTTTAAGGTGGTTCCATGTGAAGGGAACACCTACACGCACAAATTTTCAATCAATCTAAAATCCGTCTGTTGCCATGTGAACCTAGCCTAACATTCTTATTTGTATGTATTAGTTAATAGGTTAAATATCAGTATATAAAGCCGAACATTCTTATTTGGTTCTTTTGCAGAGACTTGAGTTCAGTGGTGGTGGATTCATTCTTTAGTATCCAGCATTAACAAAATGAGATGTTCTAGACCTGTCCATTTTTATCTTCTTTACATGTTACAGTCAAAGAAGCTATTAAGCTCTCAAAGGGAGCAGAGCAAACCAACATTTACGTAAATGCTACATATGGCATAGAACAAAGGACAAGAGAGTTGAGAGTAAGAAACAGTTTCCTACTACTGTTTCTGCCTTTTTCTATTGCCTTAGGATTGTCACACAGGCAAGTGTTCTTTGTGTGAGTGAGCAGGGGGAATAGGGATTTGCCTTGCTTGCTCCTTCATAAAAACCCATGTGACAATCCTGAGGGACTGCTAGCAGTCTAGCTAAAAGGACATCAGTAGCCATACATTAAAGTCTCAAAAAAAGATTCCCAGGGTTGATTCATTGAGTGATGTGTTATAATATAGCCCACAAAGAAAACTTCTAAGTGTACAAATTTATGTAAGTAAATCTCAACAAGTGGTCAACATTGGTAGGTAACAGTGTACTGTTACCCTTTGATGACTTAGATTTTGTAATGTTGCCGACTGAGAGACTTCTGGCTGAAAACAGTTTGTTAGAATCATGTCTTGTGATCTCAAAGTAACCAATGCAGGGTGCAAAGAAAGTCTGTTTTACATCCTGCCATTTGGGCAAGCTGTAGCTAGCATGTAATAGCCCACAAGTCATTTCAACTAGCCCCTAAACCCTTTTTGATTAGCAGGGTTGATTACAATCCTTCTGTAATTTGAATTTCCCCCCAAAACAGCACTTGCCTGTTGGGCAAGTTAAAAACAAAATTCACTAGCCTGATAGCAAAATCCACTAGCATTGGGCTATTGGACACCACTTTGTTTGCACGCTGCAATGAGAGCACATGCTGTTGGAGAAAAAATTCCTGCTAGTATATAACAATGTACAATGAATGCAAACGCTCATTTCTCTTTGCCCAGCCTTTTTTTTTTTTTTCAGTGTTGAATGACATATAATAAAAACAGCTTTGACAAAAAACACTTAAATAAAGTGTATGTACATGTAAATAATCTAACAGTTCAAGCACTTTGTCAATCTGTGGAACATCTGCCTTAATTAAATAATAAAGTGAATGATTATCATTTCTTTAATGTTTGATTGTTGGGATCTTCAAACAAATTTTCGATGTACAGGTGGTTGATTGTACAAAGTCCAGCTGTCTAGAACAGTGGCCCCCCTAAAACATGACCAGTTAGGCCATGAAAACTTAATGGGATAGAGTAGCGATTGGGCTGAAGATACTTCATTCATTTTAGAATTTTTCTTATGATTCACATTAGATTGAGAGCACATGGTAAATTTTAATTTTCCACACATCATGTGTAGCTCTGAGGAAAGAAGGAAGACTGCTCGTGGTCTACATCTATCTATTTTTTAATAATTTCTAGATAAAGTTGAAAAATTTAGAAATATCTTGTGGGATGGTATTACATAACAGGGAAATGTAACATTCTGTTACAGCATCAGACAAAATAATGCAATATGCAAATTGAGATGAAAAAAGCATGCAATCTCTTAACAAAGTACTGTACCAGAAAATTCATTTACGGTAAATAATTTATTCATTGTCAACTGGGATGGAGAGGTAGAAAAAGGGTGAAATCTGCAGGAGGTGACCAAAATATTCAAAAGGGATCTGTAAAGTGGTGGGAAGGTCAAGATGTATTATAACCCTGGGGGCACTCAAGGGAAGTTTGGGTAGAGCTGTGCCACTGCAGCCTTCAAATACTGATCCTGTTTAAGACAAAAACCATTCCCAGTTTGCTACCCTAACTCAGACAAGCCCATTTTTCATGACCCTTATTCAGTTCATTTGGCATATACTGTAAAACTGACAACTCTCCCCTCATCCTCCTATTACTCTGCCCATTTCATCTTTCAGAGTAACTCAGACGTTCAAAGCTCATCATGGACATTTTTCTTACAGTTGCATTTGGCCTCTCTATCACTGGGTTGTTTTATATGTTCCATGTCTGGGTGCCTCTTGGGTGTGGTTACCTGCCGCTTAGCATACTCCTTAAAAAGTGACCAGTGATAACAGTATATTTGATCTGCAAGCAGATTGCTTCTTGCAAACTCTTTCCCTGCTTGTGCTATTTTCTGTGCTTTTTCATCATTGTCCATGGCCCATTTTAACTTTTCTTCTAAATCGCTTAGATCCCTCTTGAAAGGCACGTAATGTACCCAAGGCTGAAGGTCTTTGTAGAAATGTTCATAATATGGTGACTGTTGTTTTAACACCAGTGCATCACCTGCTAGTAAGTATGGTAGTCTGTAAGCAGCTACTGTCCCATCAATATTAATCTGGAATTTCCATTTGAAGAACTCAAAGAATGATATATGCTTTACTTTGGGACCATACTTGCTCTCGTCATATTTGAAGAAAAAGAAGTTTGTGAGTGCTGCATCATAGAGCTCTGGCTTTTTCCGTGCCATTACGACCAGCTGAAGTCTCTCTTCTCTGCTATCACGTCCACGCCAAAAGGCTTTGTTTATCTTGTCAGCCCACTTTGGTCCTGTATTTGACTGAACAGACAGCATGTCCAAAGAAACCCTTCCCATAGTCTCCAGTGTGGACTCTGTGAGGTCATACGTTGGCATGACAATGTCTGAAGTGTCATCTGAGCCACACCATGAAAGTATAGGAATAGGATTGGACTTCTGTTTAACAAGGGGCCAGTCACCAAGATTCACAAAAAACTCCATGTCGGGGAGCACAACTTTTCTTGCAAGAGACAAAAGAATATTATCCATGAACATTGAAAATCCCACATGCTGGCCATATGTCTTTCTATACACCTGGTTATTAATAATTGAATAATGACAAAGCGCATGGTGGGTTCCAAAGCGTTTCACAGCGTCCTTAGCTAACTCCTTTAGATTTATTTTAGGAAAAGGAGAAAGATCCTTTCGTATTTGTGAGTATTCCACTGAACAATTCATGGTTTTCTCCCAAACTTCCTCGTTAGTTTCGGGGCAAAAACAAGTCTCGTGATACACTCCTCCTTGTAATTTGTATGGCGACTTGGCAACGCTTTTTCCCTTGTGGGTGATCTCTATAACAAGGTCTGGATATGACGCGAAGAGACGGTAGCGGATGATGAATGAACCATCGTTTCGGTCCAGAGTTTGCACCCATGCTCTTACTCGACTGTCACTTGAAGATGTAATTCTTATTTGAAAAGTATCTTGACCCGGGGACTCGGTGAAATTGTTCTTGCTTTTATCGACAGCTTGCACGAAGAAATATCTTGCGGGTAGAGTTTTTGTTGCATCGAGTCCCGGGCCCCATACAAGTGATTTCTTTGCACTAACTTCCTTTGCCTGACACAGGGGACTACTCAGGAAGATAACTGTCCATAGAATGTAACGCTTCATTTCATTCCCCATTGTTGAAGACATAAAAGCTCAGCTGTTCGTGGAGAAAGTGAGGAAAACTGAGAAATATATAACGGGCCAACGAGGAAACGACAGCAAATACCGGGCAAACTAGTCACCAGTCCCTGACTGGTGGTGTCACAGGCTACGCAACCTTAGAAAAATTCCTTTGTTTTGTGAAAGCTTCTGATTAAGAACTTTTCCGTTTAAAAATTGAAAAAAAGAGGAAAACAGCCCCAATGCTCAACATCTATTTAGGGACTGGTCAAAAAGTATAGGGGGGGGGGGGGGGCCGGAGCATTTTGAAATGTGGTTGATAAAAAACACATGACCCACCCCCTCCCTTCGGCACAAAAATGACTGACCCACCCCTAAAGCAAGGTTGGAAATTGCATGACCCACCCCCTAGTTAAAACATGGATGTTCGGTTTCCTCTTAATAATCCAATAAAACCTCGTTCTGTGCTTGACAAAATTTGTTCATACACTGCTACAACCAAAATCAAAATCACAGAAATAATACCTTTCACTGAAAAGACAAATGTGAAAAATCAAAAATTTCTTGTTTCGATGGACGTTATGAGTCTTGACACAAATATACAGCAAAACGAGGGTATATTAAAATTGTCTGTCACAAAGCATATGAAAATTTCTACAAAGACAACCTATTCCTACACATTACTTGCCGGAAATGCTTAGATTAATCCTCAAAGAAAATTTCTTCCACTTCAATGAAAGGACTACCTACAAGACCATGGAACTGCAATGGGCACAAAGACAGCAGTTTTGATTCCTTTTTCCAATATTTTCATGACATATATTGAAACAACAATTCTAAGTAAAACTGTCTTTAGAACAACAGTTTGGAAATGCTACATACACGATTTCTTTTCCCTATGGGATATGAGAAAACCAGACATCGAAGCCTTCATTGAACAAGCAAACTTCCATCACCCAACTACCGTGAATTCATAGCCGAAACCTTTGACACTGAGACTGCGTTTTTAGACACGGTTGTATACAAAGGCACAAGATTCAAGGAAAAATCTGTCCTTGATGCATAGACACATTTTAAACAAACGGAAACCTTCTTGCACACACATTTCACCACGTGTCACCTTCCAAACGTTAAAAAATCCTACGAAAATACTCCTCAGAAACAAACTTTGAGGAAAATAATTCAAATTTAAAAAAAAAAAAAACGCTTGATGGACGGAGGCTACCCACAGTCTTTGATAGAAAACCTTCTACCAGAAATAAAATTCACAAAAGGGAGTCTGAACTCCTAAAACAAAACAACAAGGAGGAAAAAGAAATATTGCCATTCGTGACACAATACCAGCCCTCGGTGTCTACTATAAAGGAAGCTTGAATGAAAAAATGGAATCTTATACAAAACCAACTATAACTTCAATAAATTTTTAAAAAACCACCAATCATTTCCTTACAAATAAAGGAAAATCATTAAGGGACATGCTCGTTAGAGCCAAAAAAAAAAGGTTAACAGAGGGTTCCACGCCCGTATAGATGTGCAGCCTGTCACCCTTTGTATTTTCTCGCACAACAGGTTTGTGAGTATTTTAGCAATAATTCCAGCTGGCTGTGTTTTATATAACAAGTGTAGTCAACTGTCTCGTTAGTAGTTAGTGCCTATCTATGTAATAAAATAGGGTGACCCACCCCCTAAGGGAAGCTGAAAATTGCATGACCCACCCCTTGCACAAGGCTCAAAACCTGATGACCCACCCCCTCTCTGCTCCGGCCCACCCCCCCCCCCTATACTTTTTGACCAGTCCCTTATGACTATTCTTACAATAATATTGTCAATGGTCTGAATGCTCCGCATATAGTTGAAGAACTGTGGTCTACAAATCCGCGCCAGAGTCCAAATTTTCAAAGCAATGCAGTCTCTTAGCAAAAAGGGGCGCAGGTATGAAATAAGTTAGAGCCATTATATTCCAAGGCAGGGGATCTCTACCTGAAAATCTCATTTTGAGCTTTTTTAACACTTTTATTGTTAACACCGTACCTTGCTTCCTTTAGCCTCTGTAGTATGCGCCAGTTTTGTTAGGACAAAGGGAGAAATTTTGAGGATGCTCATGCTATATAAAAATTGACCAAAAAAATTAACTGGTGCCTGCCAAGTGGGCTATGATTCCTTATAAATATTATGATTAAAATAAAATGGGATTCCAAACCCAATCAAAATGGTACTGGTGAGTATCATTTTGGAAAAATCCAGACATTTATCCAAAAGAACTATTTTATTGAACCAGTATGAGCAATACAATAAATATTTTAATTACTTAGGTACATCTGATCATAATTAGCATTCAAAACACATCAGGGTTTCTTAGATAAACCCAGAATAGTAATGTCTTTAAAGCAGCACTGAGATCCTAGTTCTGGATCTCCAACAGAATGAAAGATGTTATTAGAAGTGTGTTTCAAATTTCCCTTTAACCTGGTTGGCCAAACAAACATTTTTTTTTTCAAGCCAATCATGGTGCATACTCAAATCATGGTACACAGGTAAGGAACCAGAACAAGGATTTTCAAATTGGCTTGCAGAGGTACAGCTGTACTTAACCAGAGGTTAAGTTTCGTCTGTGGTGCAGTCTATATTTTATATAAGCTTAACACAAAGTAAAACGTGAGAGTGTCCCTGCCATTTGTTGACACCCTATTACTCTTGTGTACTATGAAGATAAACATCATGGGGTTTATAATGTGGTAACTGACAACATACACAGTCCTTGCACTTTTCTTATTGAATCAGTTTGAACAACAAGAAACTTTGCCCTTAAAGTACCTACGGTACACTCAAATATTGCTTATAGACTACTGGGACTGGCACTAGGTTTCCATTTTAGCGAGGGGTCTGTCTTATAAGGAGTCAAAGAAAAGGACTAAATGACACATGATTAACACACATCTCAGCCATCAGCCATTTGCTATCTTTTAAAAAGCACAATGAGTTTTCACATCAATGAAATTCCAAAAATATTGGTCCACACCCCAGTTGTTCAAAAGTTGGATAGCGCTATCCACTGGGAAAAATCTTTCCAGCGGCAACCCTCCAAGTTAAAGTTTTTGCTTGGTCGCCATTTGGCAACGAAGTCTTTTGGTTTAGGGAGACTTTTTTACAAATCAAGTCGCCAGCTTCAAAATTTTAGGCACCATGGCAACTTAAATAGTCGCAACTTGGAGGGTTGAGTGGATAACACTATTTTGGTTTCCCTGATACTTATCGACTGGATAGTGACCTTTCCGGTGGATAGTGCTATCCAACATTTGAACAACCAGGGCCAGGACTATAGTTAGGCATTGAAACTGTTTCCTGTTGTCTGTTGCTATGGACGGAAAGAATAGACATAAACTGAAATTTGAAAAAATCACCAAAAGAAATTAATAGCGGAGCTCTCGCGCGCGCGAAGCGCGCGCGCAGCAGAGCACCATGGGTAACAAAATTTGGTAAACTATCCATCCGAGAAAATTTGGTTATGACGTAGAGTACGCCCACCCGTACACACACTTCATTTAAGCCGATGTCAAATGTCACAATAGATCTTGCACAAATTGACTAGCCTTTCAGTTATGTAAGCCATCCGTATGAGTACGATTAGATAGACAGCTGTCAAAATCAGACATCCACTGACAATTATCACATGACCATCTCGCGGGCTCAGATGAAAGACCAGTCGTTTTGCCCCTACATATAAGCTGATATAATATGTCACACTAACC